CCATAACAATGAAAACTAGGAAGAGGGTGGAATAATATACCTCTGGCATTTTGATATTCAAGTCCTCAGATAGCAAATAAATACTAAATAGAGGTGTTGGCATCACCATAACAATGAAAACTAGGAAAAGGGTGGAATAATATACCTCTGGCATTTTGATATTCAAATCCTCAGATAGCAAATAAATACTAAATAGAGGTATTGGCATCAACATCATATACTCCCTCTGCTCTCATTGCAATATAGCCAGTTTTCTTCTGGATCTCCTCCTGTTAATACTTAATACAATTAGCAGCAAATGCATAAAATAAGAATGACTTGAGAATCATTACATATATATGTATATATGTATCACTTAAGAATCAAGTAGAGCTGAACCTTGTAACACTAATTGATATGAGACCTATAGAGTAAAGAAATATCTACACGACATGAGAAGTGACATGAAATTCTTTGGTGACATGGAAAATACTGACAAAGTACATGCCAAACTAAATGAGACCAGAAACTGACGAAATAAAGCTGCATCTAGATCAATTGGTCTGTAGAAATTTAGCAGCACATGTATAACAACAATTTGTTTAGGACTTTATCAACAAATTTTCTTCGCATCCCCTTGCTGAGGAATAATGGAATGCAATATCTAAAGCTATCTATATGTTTAAAAGACTTGTCCCCAATAACAGATTCAATAACAGAACATTAAGGTCATTAATTATATAATTAGGCCTACCTTCGAATCATTTTCATCAAAGACTTCTCCAACAATCTCAACCACATCTTCTAAGGTTACTATCTGCTCCATCAAAAAATAAATAAGTAAATATATAAAATCAATCTGTCAATAAAATGAGTGCAAATACTGTAAAATAAGCAATCCAAAAGAGAAAGAAAACATAGTATTGAAACCTAAAACACCAATTCTCTGACTCAAAGGCCCTACGGTCTCAAAAGATCCAGCTCATTGATCATTACCACCTTCCCATTATCATAGAGGTAGAGGGAAAAAAACCACATGATAAACAACCAGCCCACCCACCTTTTGATTATTCTGCAGTCTATTAGAGTAACCCAACATGATTTCTTATTTGTTCTTATCTAATTGTTTACAAAGGAAGCACAAAACTTTGTAACAGTCAACTCTACAACTTAGGTGCTAGTTTAAAGAGATTTATCCTTAAGCAATTTAAGCATTTTACTCTAATTTACCACAAATTCACAATGTGTTACATACAAGCACAAATAGAAGCAGGCAAGGAGGTTGGGTATGTGGGACACATAGAGGGGATAGAATTTTTATGTACATACAGTCATGACTCCAGTTGTGGCACTAACACCAACTTCTCCAAATATTGCTGTTGTTGCATCTATCACTAAAGCAATTGCTCCAATATTGACCACCCTAGTGACAAAAACAGAATCTAAAAATAAATCACACACCAAAGTTAAACATAGACACATAGAACTGGATCAATCAAGTGATTATGGGAAAGATTAGTACGTAGTGCCAATAAGAATGGTGGACAAAAATCGAGTTACATCACTGCGAAGCATTTGAAATGCACCATCTTCAGACTCTTTTTCAGCCAGCTCATGAACCTGACACAAATTAGCATCAAATCACCAATGAGACCGAAGTTTCTTGATGGCTTGGTGACATTAAAAAAAAAAAAATCGTGTTCTTCCATAAGTTAATATGAACCACATATATAAGAAACCAACATCATCATCAAAACCAAACAAGACAATAGTAATATCACTGCATGAACTTCACAGTCAAGAACTGAAATAGTAGATCAGATTAATCTTTGCTAAACTTAACCCAATATTTAAGTCCAAATGCCATTGCACAACCACCACAAACTTCATATAGTTATCTAAACCATACTAAAATTCAGATTTCAATTGCTATTCACTAATTATAAGAACCATCAATCTTCAAACCAACAAAGTAAACCTTCCATGGCCACAGTGTAGTTATAAGGTCTCTGCCATGAGAAGAATGCAGATAGACATAAAAGTGCAATCAGAATCACACCTTTCTCTTTGAAAATATTAAGAACCATAGAAACCTTAGGCCACGCATTCCTCAACAACAATGCCCACTGCTCAATCACTCCATACCCTGCATTCACCACTCCCTCCACCACAAGCACTCTCTTGCACGTGAAAACCAAAAGACAACAAAGCATTGCCCCAATAAAGACCCCCTGCTTCAGCAAAATCTCAGAGACTCCAAATCCAGGCCTAAAACCTCACCTTGGTCACCACCTAGATCATTGTTTTCTTCACTTAACGATCTCAGATGAGCTCTACTGCCAACAATGCCAGGTCTCCGCAATATCAAACTATAAATTCCACTAAATTTGGACTGATTGAAACAACTAGGGACTACACGACATGGAAGGTGATTACTTTTGGATGAAAATTTTATTTTTCAAATTTCGATTGTGTTGCGCAAAAGGGGAACACTTGGATCCGGAAATGAAGGAGGGTCGCCTAATAACAGCTGGTTCAGATGCCATAACCCCCACAATAGTTATAGTTGAAGGAAAATGTTAAAAACTTCCAAAAAAAAAAAAAAAAAGAGAGACGCAAATTGTATTCCCTTTCCCAATCCTATTCCACCTTGTTCCTGTTGGAACTGTGCATGCTAGGTGATGAAGTAAAAACAGAGGTTGAGGAAAGATAAGACGGGTATTGATGGATTAGCTACTGATGGAGCGGAGGAGTTAGGATTCATAATAGAAGAGGAACCCTAAAGAGGTGAAATTGAGCTGAGTCGATGCTGATAATGTCCCTTCATCTCGCCAAAGGGAGGCTACTTCCGTTGGGTTGTGTTGTGTGGAAGGAAGATGTTGCTGAAAGCAAATGGGAGAGAGGGACTGAAGTCGGAATCACAGGACTTGCCCTTCCCAATTTTATAATTACAGTTATATCCCTAACATGATAACCATCTCACAATCCAGATTCCATGATTATGAAATAATTCCATCAGAATCACATCTCAAAATTCAAACTTTCCCCTCAGCCCAACAATGTAAAACCAGAATTTTTATGACTCTGCTAATAGATATCTCAAGAACAAAACTGTAAAGAACAAAACTTGACATACATTTGCTACCAGTTTGATACCAACTGGCTTAAAGAACTACATAAGAAAGATTCACAGCTTAAGCCTTCAAATATGTTTTACAATAAAGAAAAACAAAATTAGAAACCATAAAGAGAAGAGAAGGCTGGCAATTTTATACAAGCCAATACCAACCATAACAAGAACTTCAAACCCAAAGAGCACTTATTCAGGAAACATTAAATCAAAAGGTCTAAAACATCAACTCTGCAACTAGCTTCTTCTTTGAACAAGTCTTTTGGCTTCCCTCATCTTCCTTCCATTTTGACTTGGTCGGCCATCAAACAAGGACACAAACCATTTTGGTTTTCCTGTTCGGAAGACATGATATCCTATCAGCAGTCCAAAAACAACTCCACATCCATAGCCTAACCCCACAACTCTCCAACCAAATCTCCACAACTCATCTTTTTCTTGGAAGGAGCTCGGCGGTGTCCCCATTCCATCACAAGATTTTGACAGTGGGATTCCACACAGTCCAAGGTTTCCTTCATAAGAACCATTTTCAAAGGTGTTGAACTGATTGCCCTGTGGTATGCGTCCAACAAGATGATTATTTGAAAGATTCAATACAGAGAGTTGTGTCAAAGATACTAATTCATTTGGAATTTTCCCTGCCAGCTCGTTGGAAGAAAGATCCAACCATTCCAGATTCATCAAATTCCCTAGTGACGGTGGGATATGACCAGTAAGATAGTTATGAGAAAGATTTAGCCCTTTGAGAGAACTAAGCTTTCCAATAACATCTGGAATTTCTCCCTCAAACTTATTATTTGAGAGATGAATATTACTGAATACGGTCAAGATTCCCTGCAGCTCATAGTCGAATCCCTTCCATGTCACAACCAGTGAATATTTATAAGAACTGACATTCATGTATTCAGGAGAACCCTCATCTCTATAAAGGTCCATCATAGCTTTAAAATTTTCGAAGTACTGAACAGGCAAAGGACCAAGAAAATCATTGTTGGAGAGGTCCAGAACTCGTAACTTGGGAAAAGATGGACTTTCTTTGGTGCTCTGCACATAACCGTGGAACTTGTTGGACCTTAGGACAAGCACTTGAAGGTCTGGTAGAGATTCCATCCAATGAGGGAATGTGTCCTCTATGTTGTTGTTGCCAACGTCTAGAACCTCTAACTTGCTACAATTCACCAAAGACCTTGGTAATAGCCCGTCCATGTGATTTCCATGTAAGTTGAGATTTTGTAATCCACAGCTCCTTGGAAATTCAAATGGCATGTTTCCATCAAAGTAATTGGCTTGCAAATTCAACACTGAGATAGACTTAGGAAGACAATTTGGAATCTTCCCACTTAAATGGTTATGAGAAAGGTCAAGAATTTTGAGATCATGCTTTTTCCATATCCATTCAGGAATACAGCCATTAATGCTATTCTTTGATAGTAGTAGGCTTTGCAGACCATTTGAATGTTTTAAGAAATTGGGGAATTCACTCAAGTTACAAGAAGACAAGTCAACATAGGTTAGTTTGGGTAATGTGAAGTTGGGATTGACATTGACTCTTAGAGAAAGATTGTTGTATGAAAGAATGATGCTTTGCAGATTTTGAAGCCCCGAAAACATATCAGATACTTCTAAATCACTAAAATGATTTGATGATAAATCGACAGAACTAAGATTTACTAAATTAGCAATTGAGTTAAGAATTGAACCCTGGAGTTTATTGTTTGACAAATACAGATATCTGAGTGATTTTTGCTGGAATGGATTTATTGGACCTTGAAGTTGATTATGACTGAGTTGCAAGTACATTAAGCAAGGTAGGGTGAAAATCCAAGGTGGCAACGTGCCATTAAGTAAGTTATAAGACAAGTCTAGCCAGGTTAGTTTGGAAAACCTACTTGCATGAAAAGGAATGGGACCAGAAAACTGATTATTGGAAAGGTCAAGATCGATAAGTTGTGTGAGGTTTGCAAGTGACGATGGGATTTGTCCGCTAAGATTGCTAGAATAGAGGTCCAGGTAAGTAAGTTGGGATAGGTTACATAAGAAAGCTGGAATGGGACCAAAAAATTGATTATTGGAAAGGGAGAATGAGTTAAGTTGTGTGAGCTTTGCAAGTGATATTGGGATTTGTCTGTTAAAATTGTTAGAATAGAGGCCTAGCCTAGTGAGTTGAGATAAGTTTCCTATGGAAGCTGGAATGGAACCTTCCAAGTTGCGGCCAAGAATTAGAGATCGTAATAACTTTAGATCTCCTATAGACTCTGGCAATTGCCTTCCGCAATCCATGACATATAAACACAATTTTTGGAGAGGACTGCTCCAATTGGAACTTGGAAGATCAATAGTGAGGTTTCCCTTTCCACCTAAATAAAAGAACTTGAGATTTGGAAAGCGGAAAATACTGTTTGGAAAGTTTCCTCTTAACCCACTCTCCCAACCCCAAAGATCAAGAGTAGTCAAAGAAGAAGAGAGATTCATGAAGAAACGAGGATTAACAGATGTCATGTTCACTCCTTCAAGCACAAGTTCTCTCACCTCACTCAAGTTGTGAACAAGATTTCTCAAGGTAGTTGTTTCAAGGATCAATTCAAGAGAATCATCATAAAGGTAATTAGAGAGATTGAGAGAGACTAACTTGGGCAGGTGAGCAATTTCTCCCGGAACATGGCCTGAAAATCGAGAATCAGAGATATCAAAATGCTTTAGTCTAGTAAACTGACTGATTTCCGATGGAATCTTGGAAAGCCTAAAATCATTCAAGGCAAGATTGAGGCTCTGCAGGTTTCCGAGGAAGAAAAGAGTGCTGTTGGAAGGAAAGGTGCCATAAAGGAAACTGCAGCTGAGATTAAGGGCAATTACATGACCTGTGACATTATCACAGCTAACCCCATCCCAGGAACAACAGTCTATACCTTCCTTCCATGACTCAACCTTAGAATAATTAGGTTTAGTATAAAACTCATCCACACAATAATCTGGATAAGGAACAGTGTAATTGATGGAAAAGGATGTTTTAAATTGCAGCAAAGCAAGAGCCTCCTCATGAGAGCAGAGATGTATTGTTGAGAAGGAGGAAGCAAGTAAAGAGGATGAGAAGGCAGTTTTAAGAGAGAAGAAGACAAAAAGGAGGCAAAGTAGTGTAGAGTGCATTGTGAAGATCCCCAAATCTTTGTTTGGCAAAAGAGGCCACTCAGGAAGGGTATATATAGAGTGTTTCAAATTGAGATATTCTAATAATTGTGTATATTTCATCAAAAGAAAAATAAATGAATATAGAATGTAATATTAGACCATAGTGGATGTCATTTTCGAATCTTACTTTCTGACTTCTCTCTTATTTACTATTTATGAAATTAGATGAAGTAGTTAATGATTTTAATCACATTATTAATATGATTTTAATTAGTAATTTTTTTTATTCATTGAATTTGATTTTAATGAGTAATTTGAATCTTATTACAAAGAAGTTTTTGTTTTTATGTGATATAAGGAGGGTATTTTTTTCTTAAAAATTAAAATTAATAATTTAAAAAGATTATTTATTTACATTTTTTAATATATATACATATATAAAATAAATATTAATAGATAAATATTAATAATAAAAGATTCTTTAATGTAATTTACAATTACTTGCTTTAAATAAGATAAGTAAAGCACATATTATAGCCATTTACTGCAGTTTTTGTTCTAAATTTTAGGTACTTGTTAATTCCTTATATTTTTATCTTCCTAAAATGAATTTGATTGATTAATAAAAAAGACTAAGGATGTATGTTATATAACAAAGGAGAAAATTATAAATAAAAGTTTTTTAATAAATTAAAATTTAGATTTATGTCATTATTATTATTTTAATTTAAATCCAATTATGAGTCATAAATAAAAAACTAATTAGTTTTCCACTAACGTGTTTAATCAATTGGAAAAACATATTCATCTTCAAAATTCTTAATTTTACTTAGACATCAAAATTTATAACCAGTCAAAATTTAAGAAAAAATCCAAGTCATTGACTCTTCATAAATATAACTCACGGGAAAATAATTTTTTTTAAATTTTTTTACACATATTATTTTGATTTGATTTAACTGACAAAGAAAAATTTCCACATAAAATTAGCAAAAGACCTAACGGATCCAGGTTTTCGTCAATGCCCTGCTACGTTCAAGTTGTAAAAAACGGCTTCTTACCTTCTTTTTTCTTTACCTGGTGTTTAATAAATCTTTGTCAAGTCTTCGTGAATGCCCTGATGTCTGTTCAATGCTTTATACGTATTTAATTTTTAATGTTATTTAAACTAAAAATCAACAGACGAGGTTCAAGGTATATTATTTAAAAAAAAAATTAAAAACTAATGTAGTCAGAAACTCAAAATAACTGTTAGCTTTGAAAGATCGGTGGTAGTGTGATGTGATGATCCCGTATCAAGAACGGAACAATCCAATTCTCGTTTGAAATATTTAACGATGCAACAAATATACTGACGTATCAATGCAGTTGCTTGCATTTGGAATTCTGGACAGTTTTTTACAAAATTTTCATACTACATATCTGAAACGGTTGGGAACCTCTATGTACAATTATTGTATTCTTGTTAGAGGCGTATTAATTATATTTTTATTT